ATTGTGAGTTTCTGCCCTAATCTTCATGAATTCCCAAACCCCCAACTGCGTTCGTAAGTAGGTATAAAGGAATAATGCAATTTTGGTATACTAAATTTGAATGTTTTCCATTATTATCCACTAATATTTTAAGGTTATAATTTGGTGCATTAACTTTTATTAATTTCGTTCAGTATTATTTTAGAGTTTCAAACTTTGTGTTAACTTTGTTCCATTTTTATTTTTAACTTTTTTTAGTATGTTTCATATTGAAGTCCTCAACTTGATCCATCGAAGATCTTTTACGGCTCATCACATTATTCTTTTCTCGATGAAAAACTACTATTGAGGATGTGTGGGGATGTTACGGGGGAGAGGTGGATGTTGAGGGTACGTCGACTTCGCATCTGCGCAATTTTGGAGAAGGGTTAGCTCAACAATGCAATGAGAAAATGAGAACTGAGAAGAAGAAGAAGGCGATGAAGATTTCATTCCTGGTGAAGATGATTTCACAGATGAGACCTCCGAAAGCGAATCAGACAAATCGATAAATAAGAAGAGTGAACCCAAATTAATTGAAGGGGAAGACCCTCTTCCTAGTGGTGGTCGCCACATTTATCGCGAGATGGGTGAATGGGAGCCATCGAATATAGATGAGATCGAGTATGCTCTTCCATTTTGGAATGACGACATTGAGACCATATGTTTGGGTACAATTTTTAGGAGCAAGGAAGAAGCACAATCGGGTATCCTGGCTTGGAACGTTGATAGGCTGAGGGTGTTTCGGACAATAGATTTTAATCAAAAGTCATACAAAGTGGTCTGCAGATCTAATGAAGATGAACCTTGTGTGTGGAAGGCTTGGGTGACTAAGAAACGAGTTCATGAAATGTGGGAATTAACTGAATGGACTGACAGACACACTTGTATGCAACGGGTCGAGAGAAATGACCACAGAAATGTAACCGCCCGTATGATTTCAAATCTTGTAATTAGCAAGATTGAAAAGAAACTGGACTACAACGTTAGACTGATCCAGGCCGATGTGAAACAATGCTGGAAAGTCGATGTCAGCTACAAGAAGGCGTGGCATGGAAGGAGAAAAGTCATCGAGCATGTGAACGGTTGTTGGGAACCGAATTTCGCAGAACTCCCTCGGTAAGCAAAAATTAATTACAAATACAAGTGTGGTTTGTATGTCACTATGTTTATCTATTTATGAAACCATTTTGTAATTTTCAAATTTTTTGCCGTGCTTCAAAGAGCGAATCCCACCACAGTTGTACAATGGGAATGGCAGGGCGGGGAAATGGCGCATCAGTATCAAGACAGACAATTCAAATTTATATTTTGGGCGTTTGGTCCCGCCATTCAGACCTCATCGATGGCACACATTTGCGCGGATCGTACAAGGAAAAATTGCTTGTGGCTATAGCACAGACAGCGAATAAGCGGCTATTACCTATCGCCTATGCGATTGTTGATGAAGAAAGCAAGGATAGCTGGTCATATTTCCTTACAAATGTGCGGCAATATGTTGTGTTCGACCGAAAGATCTGTGTTCTCTCTGACAGGGATAACGACATACTCAGTGCCATTGACTCGTTGGTTGGTTGGCAAGAACCCGCTACATATCACCGGATTTGCCTTCGACACCTTCGAAGCAACGTGGTCACTAACTTTAGGAATAAGAAAGTGCGTGATTGGTGTTGGGATTTGGGTTCGCAGTTGTCGGAGTGAAAGTGTGAGCGACAAAACAGCGACTGTTGGAATTCAATCCCCAGGCACACAAGTACCTTTTCGATATTCCTTTGAACAAGTGGATCATGTATGGTAATGAAGGAAGACATAGATGAGGCACATTGACGACCAATATGTCGGAGAGCTACAACAACATCTTGAAAAGCGTTAGGTTCCTGCCGTGCAGAGCTTTGGTACAGGCCACATTGGAAAAAACTCTGGATTTGTTCGAACAGGAACAAAAGAAGGCCACAAGATGCATGAGTCTCATTGCTACTCAGCACTATAACGCCTATTTGGAATTGGAGCGTACAGCCACAACCCATACTGTGAAATGTGTGAACGCCGAAATGTCCAGGTACAAGGTGAGAACCGGTCTACGGGCTTGTGGGAGAGGGCAAAACAGGTATATGGTTTTTTTTTTTCATTCAGATATTTGAATGTTTATATATATAAATCATTGTTTGAGTTAACAGCTATAAGGTTAATTACCCCCGGAAACGTTGTAGTTGTCTGAAGTGGCAGACACACAGGAAACCGTGCTCTCATGTAATAGCTGTAGCTCGTCAAATTGGGACTGATCCAAAGTCGTTGTACGATAACGCATTTTGGACGGAGACTTGGGTAGATCAATTTACTAATTAGGGTTTTGCTCCAATTGGTACAGCGGATACATGGGCGCCGGTGGGATGGAATTTGATACCACATTGTGAGAGGATGATCTTGAAGCCTGGACCCGGTCGCAAGCAAACGAGACGCTATCGTATGCAAATGGATCGTCGGGCGCACCGCAAGAATGATAGGGGACAGTGTTCAAGATGTGGTAATCCCGATCATATTGTGGATGAGTGTTCTTCCTCGCACCGATAGGTCTAGACTTCGTGATGAGTGGGGGAACTAGATTTGTTAGTGTTTATTCGAATTTGTTTGGAGGGTTCATTTGGATTTGGTTGGATTGTTATTTTGTTTTGTTTGGATGGTTTATTTTATTTGAATTTGTTTGGATGATTTATTTGGAATTGTTTGGATGGTATTTACGATAGATTAGTTGATTTGTTACTGTAATTTTTGTTTAGTTGGTTGTTTTGAATATTTAAAATAGGTATTTTTTGGTTAAAGAATGGAAAAACCAGATTTTTTTTAACTTACAGTTTAAAACGTATTATAATAATGCGTTTTACAATTAATTACATGTAAAACGTATTCTGAGAATACGTTTTACATAAAATGAAACATATAGTATATAGTATATAGTATATAACATATAACATATAACATATAGTATATAGTACATAGTATATAGCATATAGTATATAACATATAACATATAACATATAGTATATAGTACATAGTATATAGCATATAGTATATAGTATATAACACATAGTATATAGTATATAGTATATAGTATATAACATATAGTATATAGTGTAATATCCCATTCAGTAATTAATAAAAGTAATTATTCTAAGTATGAACTAATTACTTTTATTAATGCTCGTTCTTAGTTTCGAGCCAGTTATTAAGTTATTCAGTTAAATATTCGACTTTAAGTCGAAAGTATTCTCGGTTCAATATTATTCAGTAATCGAGCCAGTTCAGTAATTAATTAATTCCGATCTGTTTATTTTTATAAATAGATTTATAAGACGGGATTAATTAATATAATATGACGAATAATCGAAATTGAGTATATTTTGATTAATCGTTTAAGATAAGTAGTGAAATGAACTCAAGTATGTTCGGTCATGAGTTGAACTTAATTAAGAAATAGCCGAGCCTTAGTACTAAATACTTAAAATTTTTCTAAGTGTTCAAGTCATCAAGATAAGATCATAATATTGAGCTTTAGCATAAGTTGATACAACTTAAGTCTCGAAATGCGGTTAAGTATCCATGAACATTGAAGTGATAAATGTTCAAAGAAGTGAGAAAATTTATTTAGACATTATAGTCTATTT